CACTGACAAAAACATTTAATTGGAGCTGAAAAAAAGACTCAGTTTTAGTAGAGTTCAGAAGTCTATCGTCATTTCTATTCCTCTGGTAAAAATATTTTGGCATATGGACACTGTGAGCATGTGGTCAAATACAGCTATTATCATTGAGACCTTCCCAAAGTTTAGTTAACAAATTCATTTAAATTGTAAGTGTTTACATATGAATGCCTTTTATGTATATTTTATTGATTATGCTATTACAATTGTCCCATTTTTTTCCTCCTCTTTATGCCCTTTTGCCCTGTACCTCTCTCCCACCAGCATTCTCTCTCCCCTTAGTTCATGTCCATGGGTCATACCAAAAAGTTCTTTGGCTTCTACATTTCCTATACTATTTTTAACCTTCCCTCATCTGTTTTGTAACTACCAATTATGCTTCTTATTCCCTGTACCTTTTCCCCATTCTTCCCCATCCCCTCCCCACTGATAACCCTCCATGTGTTCTCCATTTTTGTGATTTTGTTCTTGTTTTAGTTGTTTGCCTAGTTTGTTTTTATTTTTTAGGTTCAGTTGTTGATAGATGTGAGTTTGTTGTCAATTTACTGTTCATAGTTTTGATCTTCTTTTTCTTAGATAAGTCCTCTTAACATTTCATATAATAAGGTCTTGGTGATGATGAACTCCTTTAACTTGACCTTATCTGGGAAACACTTTACCTGCCCTTCCATTCTAAATGATAGCTTTGCTGGATAGAGTCATCTTGGACATAGGTCCTTGCCTTTTGTGACTTGGAATGCTTCTTTCCAGCTCCTTCTTGAAGGTTTCTTTTGAGAAATCAGCTGATAGTTTTATGGGAACTTTTTTATAGGTAACTGTCTCATTTTTTCTTGCTGTTTTTAAGATTCTCTCCTTATCTTTAATCTTGGGTAATGTAATTATGACGTGTCTTGGTGTTTTCCTCCTCAGGTCCAACTTCTTTGGGATGCTCTGAACTTCCTGGAAACCCATTTCCTTTGCCAGATCAGGGAAGTTCTCCATTATGTTTTCAAATAAGTTTTCAATTTCTTGTCCATTCTCTTCTCTTTCTGGCACCGTTATGATTTGGATGTTGGAACATTTAAAGTTGTCCCTGAGGTTCCTAAGCCTCTCCTCATTTTTTAAAATTCTTATTTCTTCATTCTGTCCCAGTCAAATGTTTATTTCTTCCTTCTGTTTGAAATTGTTGATTCAAGTTCCGGTTTACTTCCCTTCACTGTTGGTTCCCTGTATATTTTTCTCTATTTCACTTTGCATAGCCTTCACTTCTTCCTCCACTTTTCATCTGTACTCAGTCATTTGTGTGAGCATCCTGATTACCAGTGTTTTGAACTCTGCATCTGATTGGTTGGCTATCTCCTTGTTGCTTAGTTCTTTTCTGGAGTTTTGATCTGTTCTTTTATTTGGGCCATATTTCTTTGTCTCTGTGCACCTGTTACATTGTAAGGGGCAGAGCCTTAGGTATTCACCTAGGTGGGGCAACCCACTTTGCTATATTGTGGTGCTATATGTGAGGGAGGGGTTTTGAAAACCATACAATCAATCCTGGCTGGCGTAGCTCAGTGGACTGAGCGTGGCTGCGAACCAAAGCATCGCAGGTTTGATTCCCAGTCAGGGCACATTCCTGGGTTGCAGGCCACAGCCCCCAGCAACCGCACATTGATGTTTCTCTCTCTCTCTCTCTCCCTCCCTTCCCTCTCTAAAAATAAATAAATAAATAAAATCTGAAAAAAAGAAAAGAAAACCATACAATCAAATTTAGAAACACATTTTGTCATTTGTTGTAATGATATTTTTGACAAGAAATATTATATGATCCCTAAATGAGGTAAAATTTATGGTCAAAATAAAGGAAACTGTGCTGATATTTCATTTTCTTTTTAAAAAAGTTATCTTTCAGGAGACTTCTGCAGTGATTATTAATAGTTTCCTCTTTTCATATGGTATTTATTGAGGTCCAATAGGTTACAAAAAGCTCTTTTAATTTTTTTGTTTATTTATTGTTTTGAGTGTGTCTCTCCTCTCCCCTTAGCTATAGGACTCTTATTAATATTAACAAGAAACAAGGAATACAGCTGGTATCCAAGGCATCCTTGAGCTAGGTTTTCTTCAAATGGTAGGAAGGCAGCTGTAAGGGTAGAAGACTACATGTAGAAAGAAGTTAAGGAAGCTGATACTTGACCAACAGAGCCATCTATGTTAGTGATTCTCGGACCACAGTTTTTTCTGAAGTTACCACTGTTGCTATATGGAAATTAAAGTGGAAAGGCCCATGTTCCCTTGCACTTTGTGTATGGCCCTTAAAAATTATGGAATCCCAAGACTTCAGGAATGTAGAGGAGAGAGAGAGATGATCATGAGCCCATAATATTTTAGAAGACTTAATGAAAAAGGTCAGCTTGATTTTAATTATATTTTAATATGAAGTTTGGATAAATAATTTCAATAATTCTTTTTTATCTTCACCTAAAAATTTGCTAGGTACTATAGGGTTTACATAGCTAGACAGTCATATTTCATTAAATATTAATATCAAAGTTGAATAGCCACAGAAGACAAGAGTACAAAATTAGTTATGAGGCAGGAGTATCTACTATGTGAATTTATGTTGGAACAGAAGTGGGGGTTGGTTTCCCCTGGAATAACTTCTTAAAGGCAAAAGAACTTCAGTCAGTTTTGACAAATGAGTAAGTAGACTGGAGGGCTGAATAAAGGTAGTGACATTTTATTTGAAAGCTGAGAAATGCATTGCTGTTTCTTGGGGTAATGAGCAGATTCCTTTGACAGGAGCAGAGGACTTATATAAGAGAGTTAGGGGATGAGGTGTTATGTTTTTAGATTACGTTAAAGTTTTCTTTTGTGGTTTATATTCTATGTGTTTCGACAAATGTATCATGACATGTATCTATCTTGATAGAATCATACAGAATAGTTCCAGAGCCCTAAAAATTCCTTGTGCTCCATAGGGAATGAATTTTAATCTAATATTCACAAGGACCTTTTCAGAACATTATGGTGACCTAGTGTCTGAAAAACTTTCTTCATCAATATAAGCAGTAATAAAAGGATTGTCTTGATTTTCCTGAAGGAAAAGATTGATTTTACTTACACTTGTAATTTGACTTTGTTGTGACTTTAAACCTACAGCCTTATTTTTGTTTCTTTTAAATATATATTTTACTACAATATCAGTTGTAAAATTTAGATTTAAATGAACATTACTAGTAAACCCATAATTTGTAGGTGAACTGACATTTCAATAAGCAGCTTTTCTGTGTTCTGTGCATGTATTATTTTTGTTCAAAATAAATGGTATATATTGTTTTTTATCTTGCTTTTTAAAATCAATACATGATGAACAGAATTCCTTATAATTCAGTGCTCTGCTACAGTGTATTTTTTAGTGACTGAATGGTATTCTACTGTATGGGCTATAGACTTTTCATAATTTCATGGATTATCATGATATCATTATGAAAATTGGTAATATTGCTTCTTTATTATTCTTTGGCAGGTGAAGAACTAAGTGTCAGATAGGTGGGGGAATGTTATTTAATGAAAAGTATTTGTACTCAATCAGGAATCTTCTTTTTGTCTTAATTCAACTTGTAACTCCATTCATTTATCTACTCATGAGTTTTGTTATTTAATCTCTCTGAATCTTGTTTCCTTGCCTTTAAAAGTTAGTAGGTGCTCTAGTATTTTGTAACTGTGAGCTTTCTATGATGTCATAAAAAAATAGGAACAAAGGTAAGACTAAATTATTTCATTAAAATTCCATCAATTGACAAGTCTTTTACTGTCTCTGATTCTCTTTCTCTAACCTTAAGTGCACAGATTTGAATTAATTATAATCATTGGTTCATAATAGTCATACCATTGGCGCACAAATGACCCCTTTTAATTTCTTTCTGTTTGAAGTGTCAATACTATGTATTAGACATCTGTGAATTCCCCAAACACACAGTAGACTCTTTAAGGATGTCTACTAGTCAAAAGCAAATTGTCTTTTTTTATACATATGACATATATTTTACTTACCATTTTGTTTCTAGCACCTACTATAGTGTCTACTGCACACAACTTGCTCAGTCAATACAGGTTGCACGATTGAATGGCCTTCACATGGACCTGTTACCTGGATGAACATTCACTGTCAAAACTTGTTAAAATGTAGACATTAGCAAAAGAGGCAGGTAATTAAAATAAACATAAGCCATTGAAGTTAGTAGTGAATGTGAATTGAGAATAAAACAGACATTTACTAGGACAAGTTAGGTGGCAGTAAAGGCTGAACAAAAATTTTGTTAAATGTGAGTAAAGAACACAAACAAAAATGAATAAAACCCTCATTGTTTTATGTTGTGTGAAAACACAATGCTTGGAATGTAGCACACTGGAGGAGTGTATACCTTCATCTCTAAAATAAAATTGGGATGTTGGAGGGAAGCTTTAAACAATGTCACTTTCCAAAAAAATTTAAGTGTCTTCTCAGGGCCACAGAGCTAGTAAGTTGCACCTCTAGTATTCATACTGTATCTGTCTCACTGTAAAAGTTATGAGCCTTAATGGATGATGATAAATTGTCTTAAAATTGTATTGCAGGTCTTCAGGAAATTTAAGAAATAATCTTTTCGAAATACCCTCACTAACTAACTGTTTGCTAATCAAGGAGGAAGACTTTCATTTTATGAATTCATGTATAGACAACATATATAAACCCTGGAAATTTTACTTTTTCTTGTTCCTTTTTCTTGAACTTCCTGGACACAGAGTGTCTTTGCTATTTCCATATTATATACATGCGAGCCAGAAGTTTGACTTCATAGGCATTAAACTTTTTGCAAAAGCCTTTTGGAATTCCTTCTTTAACGTCCCTGGTGGGGATTGTTGGCTGAAGTGCATTTCCTCTTCCATTTGGAGTTAAGTAGGTGATCTGTGCTGCATTGCTGGTATACCTGATACCTTTTTTTGTGCTGTTACAGAATTATAGTAGAGGACACAGTGGATTGGCGACCCCAAGACAAAATTGTCCTTAGTTCCTCTTCTTATGAGCCTCACGAAGCAGAGGTCCTCACTGTGAAAGAAGTCAAGGGCCACCATATCAGGATCCAGGAACGGCTCAAACACCGGCACATCGGTAAGGCTGTGCTTTGTTGGTTAAGGGAAGTGAATGAGCCAGGGGGAACATCTGCGGTCTGGGACCTTGGATCAGATCACCATTTGGAGGAGATGGATAGTACCTTCTGCTGTCCTAGAGTCATCCTAGGAGGCCTTATCTCTACTCTTTCATTAATTTTATTATCTAATTAAAATATTCTGATGTGAAGGGATTTTTAAACTTTTATTTATATTGGCAAGTCTAGAAGCAAAAATGGTTACAGCTCTTGTTCAAGGTCATTGGACATTTTCATGGCTAGGCTAGAATAAATCTCATGGGAGCTGAGTTTCCAGTTCATTTCCTGGCACTCTGAATAATACAATTACTTAGAATGTGGTAGTAATTGTAAATAATGATTTCTTTTTCCATACTTAGGAATGTGTATTTCCTGACATACAATTCATTTTGTGTATTGACTACTACTACTACAAAAAAACAAACAAAAAACCCAAATGCCTTTTCTAAAAGAAAAAGTGCTGCGTATTTTTATATGCTGTACACAGTCAAGCTATATTACACAAAAATGATAAATAAGCATAACCATAAGCTTCCTGCTTCAGTGTTATAGACATATCTATCTCAGGAAATATAGGTAATAAGTCATAAAACATGGAAATAGAAGGGTTTAGGGAATATCTTTTTGTCTCCGATTTGTGAGAGAGAAATACGTGTTTTCAACAGGACTGTGTCTAAAGCTATATTTAAATCATAGTTCCAAGGATAGTTTCTTTTTTAAAAAAAGTGGCCAAGGGTAGAGAAATCTTCAGTGATCCCTGCCAGTAAAGCTCCAGGTAAAATGTTTGTGGAGGGCATGAAACAAGCCAGCACTTGACTCTTCACCTCTGCCACCGAGAAGGCTCCTTCTGGCAGTAATGATCTTGAGACCCGCCGTGGGAGGGCGCTGCTGCTGCTCTTTGTCCCTTTACTCTCATGTATTGCTGCTTTACTTCTGTCATTGCTTCAGTTGCTCTGGGATTCCTCATACTCATGAAAGAAGTCCACAGACAATGTACAACCAAACACTGAGTCTCACAATGATGAGTTTAAGGAAGGAGGTTGGGGACCCCACTGATTAGTCAGGTCCGCTCTGACATTCCTGCACCGGTAACCTGTCCCCGTACCCGCAGTTATTGAGAAGAAATGAATTCTTGCTCAAGCACTCTCACTCGGATCCCAAAGAGACATTAGTAAACGGGCTTTTCATTTCTCAGCTGACATTGTGGAGAATGCCTGAGGAAAAGCAGACCTTAGCGTTGGTAGGACTTCCAAGGGGAGAGGAGTGTTAACATTTCGTAGGTTCTCTGGGTCCCCAGCTGGCAATTTCTGAAATAGGTTTTTAAAGGTTTTTCTTCCCCAACTCTTTTGCCCCAGGAAGCGTACATGTCATGGAGGATGGCCGATCCATTCGTTTGGCTGCTGAGGTTGGACTTTTGACCCGAAATATACAAATCCAGCCTGATACATCCTGTATGGGGAGACTACTTGTGGGGTCCTTCAGGAAGTCCAGCAGAGAAGAGTTTTCAGGTGAATGAAATTTTCAGTTACTAAACATTACCAATTGGAGCTTATTCATCTGAGCCACACAAAAATTCCAACTGTGAGAATGTTCCTTTATAAAACAAAATGTTCAAGTTAGATTGCTCCTCTGTGCTCTGAAAAACTATGAATTTTCAGTCCTAATCTGTGCTTAATTATCAGTGTGATGTTAAAATAATATACTAGCGATCAGCACATATGCACATTTTTACCTCAATGAAAACATCTTCAGCAGATGTGAAATTTCCTCTGCTTTGAAATTATAGATGATTTAATGACCATTTGAGTTTTATCTCTTTCCTGAATTTCTATTACTCTTTCCCAGTAGCATGCTATATCTGATGGCAGGCCTCAGCTCACGCTATAAATTACTAGCGTAAATTTAAATAAAAATGATTTCCATATTCTAGACTGCTTTAAGGATCACTTCATTCTCTCCTGTTTTCTTCAAAGTTTAGCTCTTGGAGTGCCTTACAACTATTTGATTAGTGCCTTATTTCTTAAAATTGTACTCCTTAAATATTATCCCAAAGTTGTTTTGTAGCCAAATAAATTTGGGAAAGACTATCACTACAGGTCTATCTTAGAGAGTCCCTGTGCACATGAGCAGAATAAAGGCTTTGAGAAAGCCTGGAAAAGAGGATCTAACCACTTCCTGTATATATCGAGCATGGAACACCTTTTGTTGGCACATCTGTTTCATCAGGATGATAAAGGGCAATCTTTAGATCTCAAATCAAAAGTTCGGGATTTCTGGTCTATAGAACAAGTTTTCACTCCATGAGCTGTCACTCCCTCACTTCTCAACAGAAATGATTTTGCTTCTCCATACCCCACCCCTGCCAAAGGATACCTGCAGACATTTCTGCTTGGCACAACTTTGGTGGGGGAGGGAGCATTCTGGCATCTAGTGGGTAAGCATAAATGCTAAATATCCTACAATGTGTATAAGACAGGCTCCTCACAAGAAAAGATTATCTGGTCTCAAATGTCCATAGTGTTGAGATGAGAAATTCTGCTCAAGAAGACTGAGACAAAGGCTGAATCCTGGTCTTCTGGAAATGAAACTGTCCTGAAGCTGATGAACATGGAGAATCAGGAAGGGAGAGCAAGGCAGGGCCTCTTTCAGGCTGAACTGCTGGCCCCGCTGCAGCACAGTCACAGGCACAGGGCCCATGACCAATTCTGACGGTAGAGCTCGAAGCCAGACGTGAGCCCTCAGAAAGACTGACTTGGACCTGTACCTCTGACATTGCTGATCAATCCAGGGTTTTTTAAATCTTCCCCAGAAGAAAGGAGAGAACCTATACTAAATGCCTCTTCTCAGCCGGGAACTATGCTGGTTTCCATGCTTATTTCATCTCAGTTCATCCTACCATCCCCGGGAGAGAGTCATTTTTATTGATGAGGAAACAGAATCTATAATAAAATTGCCTGCTAATTTGTACAGTTCTGTCATGAGCTTGTAAAACTCTGTTATTAGCTTGTAAACTCCTGTGGTTAAGGTTGGGTTTTCCTACTATGGTCACTACTATATGTATATTAGGTGCTCAGTAAATGCCAATGAATAAAATAAATGAAGAGTAAGAAAAGCCATCCAGTTAGAAAGTGGCAGAAGGAACATTCAAATATGATCCTGATTCTTTTTTTTTCTTTTTCTGTTGAGAGAGGGGAAGGAAGGGAAAAAGAGAAGGAGAGAAACATCAATGAGTGGTTACCTCTCATATGTGCCCTACTGGGGGCCTGGTCCACAACCCAGACATGAGCCCTGACTGGGGATCAAATCAGTGACCCTTTGGTTCACAGGCCAGTACTCAGTCCACTGAACCACACCAGCCAGAGCTGATCCTGATTCTGAAGCCCTTGTTAAATGAACTTTTAATTTCGTAAACATTTTGGATTTACAGAAAAGTTGCAAAGGTAGTATGGAGAGTCCCTGTATACACTTCATCCAGTTTCTCCTACTGATAATATCTAAAATAACTCTGGTACATTCACCAAAACCAAGAAAATTAATATTGGTGCTACTATTAACTGAATTCCAGACATTATTTAGATTCTCCCAGCTTTTCTACTGGTGTCCTTTTACTGTCTCAGAATCCAATCAAGGTTCCCACATTATATTAAAAACCTTCGCATTTCAGGGACTACAGAATGTTTTATGATGTTTTGGCCCAAGAATGTATTAACCTATCAGATACAGAATTCTCTATGCAAATTTTAATGTGAGATTTGCTCTAACATCTTTTAAAAGATTATTTATATAGAGCTGTAAGATTCAGTTTATTTACAAGTTTTAGTCAGAGTTTTTTTTTTATAATAATCTACAATGATAATCATTAATAATCATCTATTTGTTTTTAATTTTTTTTTATCCTCGGCTGAGGACATTTTTTCCATTGTTTTTAGAGAGACTGGAAGGGAGAGAGAGAAATATCAATGCAAGAGAGAAGCATCGATTGGTTGCCTCCCATATGGGCCCAGACTGGGGATGGAACCCACAACCTAGGTATGTGCCCTGACCGGGAATTGAGCTTATACCCTTTCAAGTACAGGATGATGCTCCAACCAACTGAGCCACACTGGTCAGGGCACTAATAGTCATTTATTAATCTCTTACTTTGTGCCAGATATTGTCTAAGTGTTTTAATCTCCACAAAAAACACTCTTCTTACCTTTCTTTTAGAATTGAGGATGAGAGATTTGAAGAGGTTTAGTAACTTATAGAAAGTGAAATAGGTAAAACTCACACTCAAACCTAAATCCTCTACTCTTATTGTTATACTACAAAGAAGCAAAAGCAGAATGAATCAGCAGTCCTAAGTCGGAGTCTATTTACAAACCATCAGTTGTTTCCCTCTTGCCCTTGGCTCTGAGCTGGCTGTCTAAAAGTCCTGGGTTTGGCCTCCTCAGCTCTTCTGATGGTGAAGAGGCTGCGAAATGCAGCTGACTGTGATCAAATTCTAGCTCTACTGCTTGTTAGGTGTGTGATTGTGAACAAGTTTCTTAACCTCTCTAAGCCTCAGTTTCATTTTCAGTAAAACAAGGTTTTGTGGAGTGACTAAATGTATAGGTTCTTGAGCCAAACTGTTCAGATTTGAATCCTGACTTGTGATTAACTGTGTGACTTAAGACAAATTGCTAAATCCTTCTGGGTCTCACTCTCATCAACTATAAAATGACAATAATGATGGAACCTTCTTCATAGATTTTTATCAGGATTAAATGTGTTAAATACATGGTTTTTTTTTTAATGAACCATTCCATTTTTCTGTAACCTCCTGCAGAGCCTGGATTTGGTGAGATCTGCAGGTGTAGGTCAAGGGTGTCAGCTACGATGTTCTATGGTTATAGGGCAGAAAAGCAGACCAGAACTTACTGGTCGTGCTTTTAAATTGGAGATCTTTGTTGGTTTCCTCTTTCTAACCAGTCATACCCAGCAACTTGTCCTCAGAATTGTGATTTTCAAAAGGAAAAAATAGGAAAATAGTCATGAAGAGAATCATAGCTTGATTCTCTAAATGCTTAAGATATTTTATGTATGTACTATTAGTTTTTAGTCTTATACAAAACTATCAATTATAACTGTGCAAATATGAAATTAAAACACTAATTAAAATAATATTGATGCTACTTTGACTGAGAAATAAATTTTTCATTGTTTTGACTGAGATTCTTGAGCCACCTTCCCTTCTGCAAAATGAGGTAGTTATGTGTGGACTCACACTGCCTCTGGTGTCCTTCGCGCCAAAGCTCTATGTGGAGACAGGTCTGACAGCCCTTTCAGCTTTGCGTTACTGGTGAGGGACACTACATGACATTAAAAGTGATAGCACCAGGCAAATCGCTTTTGGGTGTTTTATCATTCCTTGCCTATGTCCACGCCATCTAGCAGTGTCTTCTCACTCAGTGCCATGTGAGAATTTAGATGTATTAGAATCCTACTGTCTGTCTAACATGAAGACAGACACTTCATCTCACCTACTCACAAGGGCTTGGTTCTTCACCGCAGCTTATCTGCAAGGGCTCTAGTCTCTCGTCTGTGAAAGGCAGTGGGGAAGGTGGAGAGTTTAGGCTGGACTACCTCTGACCTTTAAATACTATTACTAAAACACTATAGGTCCTTCCAATATTAATGAGAGAAATAACTTCTTAGTTTACCTTTGGCAGTACCATTTAAAATATGTATTTTTTAAAGTGAGGGACCAAGATGCCGGCTAACCTAGCTAAGGGCATATGACTAAATATTGGCACATAGCTACAGACCAGTCACCTGACTCTCGATGTAAAGTTCCTCTTTTGATTCTACCATGTCCCCCACTCTTCCCCGTGTGCTTGTGTGGGGTTAATAGTACAGCTTCTCCATGTATATGCCTACATTCAAGTCCTAATGTATTACTTACCCTTCCCTCTCCCAGTTTTCTTATCTGTAAAACTGGGATAATGGCTGTACTTACCTCAGAGCATTTTTGTGAAAATTTAAAGAGGTTATATCCTTATATGTTATATATTATGTGCCATATATATATAAATTGTGTTATGCCTAGGGTGTATAGAAACACATATAAGTATAATAAACATATAAGTTATGAAGTTTCCTCTGCTTTGAAACTGTAGATGATTTAATGACTACTTGAATTTGATCTTTTTCTGAATTTTTATTATTATTTTCCTGTAGCATGTTTTGTCTGATGTCAGAAAACATTATATATATATATATATATATATATATATATATATATATATATATATATATATGTAATTTGTTATATATATAACTTAGGTATATATGTAATATATATATATATAAACTTTTATATATATATGTAATTTGACAGAAGTAGGTTTACAATTGTGAATACATGAAACAGAGTTTATTTTTATATTATTATTTATGAATTATTGTATTTTCCATATGAACAACTGTCAGTCTACTTTTGCCCAGCCCTGTGTATGTGTAATAGAACAGTGCCTGGTACATAATGAGTGCTATATGACAGTTACATGTTATAGTTTCAAGTTTACCTCAGTTTGTCTGATAATCATGTTACTATCTATTTTACCAAGAGTATACACTGACATGTTAGTGCTCATGATATTTTAAAATCAATCTATAGATTTACTTTATACTGTTTTAATAATATTTACTTAAAATAATCCAAATAAAATTGTCAATTAGACTAAATAATTCAGTAACCTCTCCTGATATAAAAGATGCCAAAAATCTAATTATTATCAAAAAGAAAATAGAGTGTGGCTAAGACAAAATACACAATTTTATAGAATCTTAAAATAATTTCATAAATGTGTTATTTCCTCTATCATGTCTTAGTCAAGAAGCATGTATTGAATGTTAAACTTTTTACTTATGTCATACTCTTAAGAAATGTTTAAAATGTTTTATGGAGTTGGCTGTTATCTTTTTTCATACAATATCTTTGTGGGTGGCTCTGACCCTTTCACATGGGGTCACTGAGAAACAAGGAGGGAGGCAGGACTTTGAGGTGAGTGCCCAGGAATCCACGGTCCCTTTATTCTGGCCCAGGTCCTTGATCCAGCCCTGCAGGCAGATGCATGGGACAGGAAGCTTGGTGTGCCCATCTTCAGTGCCCATATGCTTTCTCTAGCTTTCTCTTTCCCCATCCTGTCCCCAGACTCTTCAGATCTCACATGAAACTTTTCTAGGCATTAATGTTGTATATTAAAATTCATATTTTGTTAGACTCACTGGCATGAAATATTATGCTAGTGCTAAGAATAAAAGATTACACTTCAATGAAAAATTTGCATATTCTGGTGACAATAAATGGACCATCTGTCTGCCTTTTGTGGAGAAGAAAAAAGCACCTGATGATATTCATTTTGTTTACAGGAATCCTTCAACTTTTAAATGTAGAAATTCAGAACTTTGGGTCACCATCATTTTCATCCATTGAATTCACTAATGTGTCATCAGGATCCTGGATAATATCTTCTACTTTGCACCAAAGCTGCGGTGGGGGCATTCATGCAGTTGCCAGTCACGGGATCACTTTAAATGACAATATAGTGTTTAGCACAGTTGGCCATGGCATTGATTTGGAGGGTCAGGCCTATTCCGCCTCTAATAACCTCGTGATTCTGACGACACAGTCAGTGTGCTCCACCGTTTGGGTGGCAGGAATCAAAGTGAACAAGGCAAAGGACATCAGCCTCCATGGTAATGTTGTGGCAGGATCAGAGAGACTTGGCTTTCACATACAAGGTCAGAGGTGTTCCTCTCTTGAAGCTCTTTGGTCTGACAACGTGGTCCACTCAAGTCTCCATGGTCTTCATCTCTATAAGGAAAGTGAACTTGGCAACTGTACTAGTGTCTCCGGCTTTTTGGCCTTCAGGAACTTTGACTATGGTGCCATGCTACATGTGGAGAACAGTGTGGAGATAGAGAACATCACTCTGGTGGACAACACTATTGGTCTTTTGGTAACAGTCTACGTGTCTTCTGTTTCACAGCATTCCACTGAAAATGTGCAGATCATGCTTAGGAATTCAGTCATTGTAGCCACTAGCTCCTCTTTTGACTGCATTCAGGACAGGGTTAAGCCTTCCTCTGACAACTTGACATTAGCAGACCGAGCTCCTTCCAACCCAAGAGGGGGTCGAGTTGGCATTCTGTGGCCTGTCTTCACCTCAGAACCAAATCGGTGGCCTGAGGAACCATGGCACAAAGTGAGAAATGGTCATTCAATTTCAGGAATCATGAAACTTCAAGGTAGGATGCTTGGGCTTATCCAACCAATGTAATTTCATACATGTGTGTATAGAATTTTAATAGCATTCTGAAATTATATCAACTAAAGTGTATAGTGTAGTCTAGCACTTGTACAATTGACCACCTACCAGGTATTGATAACCACAGTGATAGTTTATAATGTCAATGAGTGATTCCTTTAAAAGATTACTGCTTTATACATGTTGAAGAGTTTTTATAGCATTTCATTTGATTATATAAAATTTCTCTTAAGTATTATTTTTCCTGTTATACAAGGAAGAAACATGGATACAGAAATTGTGTCTAACCAAGGTTGTTTACTAGTTGGCAGCCAGGAATAAAGTCAAAGTCATACCACTACCTATGCAGTAATCTTCTTTTAGGTCTTTTTTTGTGATATTTTAGTTACTCCTATGGATTTTGATCAAACCTATCATAAAAGATATTGATCTTAAGATATTAATATGTTGAAATACTCTTTCTTGTATTTGGCACACAGTAAGTCATGTCTTGAAGAATTACACATAGTTAAGTCAAGGTCATAGTTAAGTCCAAGGTAAACTCTTGGACATACAGTAGCAAAAATATTTTAGTTGTGTAGTCTATATTTGTGGTTGGTAGTTTACATGATATGGTGTTATGATATCTTAAAATTTTTTTTCAGATGTCACCTTTTCTAGTTTTGTGAAGAGTTGCTATAATGGTGACCTGGATGTCTGCATTCTGCCCAATGTAGAGGATACTGAAATCATTCATCCCATAACAGCAGAGAGGACCAAAATGCTAAAGATCAAAGATAAAAACAAGTTCTACTTCTCTCCTTTACAAACCAGGTACCAGTTTAAGCATTTATACTAAGCCATTTCTATGAAGTGTTTGGAAATTCTTCAAATCCTTAAATGTATTTTAAAAAGAATAAAATCATGAATGGAAATTAAAATAAATGCTTCTGAAAAGGTATGTTAGATTAATTGAATGCCCCCCATTTTTTACTTATATGTTCGTATGCTTTGTGATATGATTTTTGTGATCACTCTCACTAAGAGGCTGAGGCTACTTCTCTCTCTTAAATCTGGGCTCTCCTATGTGACTTTCTTTGGCTAACAAAAGGAACAGAAATGATGCAGTGTAATTTTTACTGATATTCTTTTATCATATTGTCTTTACTACAGATAGTTCTCTAGAATGCTTTCAATCACTGGAAAAATTTTAGCTTAATTTTTGAATATTCTATAGAGTATAGTGTCACTAGTCTTCAGAAAGAAGCTTAGGAGCCCTTGTGCAGGAACTTGTGGGGAGAAGTAGACCATGTCAGGAATCTCTGAACTGATCCATGTGGCTTGAATAGATATTGATGCTCAGATGAGGTGTAACTACTATTTTTGAACATAGGATCTAAGAGTTTTATTCAAGAATCTGAAAACTAGATACAGCATTATTTTTGCTGTAAAAAGGAGTGGGAAAATCAGGAGCAAGGAAAATGGGTTACATTTTCTTCCTTACAACATTGGGGAAAACTCTTTTAGTCACAAGAAATGAATGAAGAAAAATTACCCCAGTTTAACATGTTTAATAAAAACATTAAAAAGTTAATGTTTTTGGCCCAAAATATGTCTCTTTAAGACACCCATTCCTAAGTCACTTTTTGTACCCAAACTTTATTAAGTATGCAATTTGGGTTATTCCACTCTCTTTCTTCTACTGTCCAATTTTCCTTATGTTCATCTATTACCTATGGGATGAAATAGTTATAAAGCTAAATGATACTAACATCTGATTTTTTTGTACTATTAATACTTAACACATAGTTGGCATGCAATAAATATTTAACATTATTACTAATGATACCTAAATGCATTGGAGCATAAATCCATAATTCTCCATAATTCAGTGTTATAATTGCCTATTATTTGTTTATATATCCCACCTGACTCTAAATTCTGAAAGTATAGGAACCATGTCTATATTTTTCATCACTGTACTCCCCAAACTGTAAATAGTAGGTTTCCAATAGATATTTGTTAAATAAGACTATCTATTTTCACCTTGTTTGCATATAGAATAAATATAATAGATATTTATAATGATAATCTTAAAATACTGCAAGGCTCCGAAGTTCCATAAAGAAATGATTACATTATTTTCAGTAGATATTAGGAGCAATTCATTGCATCTTACCACTTAGAAATTTAGCAATCTATGTAAAGATTATATATCCAGAGTATTCAGGTAACAATAATGTCTTTCTTCTTGACCATATAATAGGAAAATAATATTTCCTATAGAGTTTTATTTAATATCTACAAATATGTAGCACATTATTAATAATAGAATCCTGTTGAATTTATTTTTCATCAGATCAGTAATACCAATATGTTTTCTTTTTTGTTGCTTATCATACAATGAGAGCTGCTTTCTGTCTATCTCTACAGGAAAGATTTAGGGACACTGGGCTGCCCTGAATCAGACTGTGAAAGTCCAAGAAAATATCTCTTTAAGGATCTGGATGGGAGAGCCCTGGGTCTACCTCCACCAGTTTCTGTATTTCCTAAAACTGAGGCAGAATGGACTGGATCCTTCTTCAACACAGGTTGGTTATAACCACACTGGATGCCTCCAGTAGATGGAGCATGTATGTGAAGGAGCTGGGTTGGCTGAGTTGTCTAGTAAGAACAAAATATCCTGGAGAGGAACTGAATTCCAGAGTTGGAGTCCATGCTAATGCGCTGCTCAACTCACCTGCATCACAGGAATGTTGAGTGATTAAGAGATGTGATCACTGTTGCGGCCTCCTTGAGATTGCTGTGTCTGTGTCAAGGGTACAGATTCCCAACACTAGTTCTGTGCACAGGTGAGGAGAAAAATACTCTCAGTAGCTTGGTGACTGGGCCTGAAGCAGCATTAGTGCTAAGTGTTTCACAATGTCAGCCATAGAGCCAGCTCCTCTGTTTTCTAACTGTATCTTTCTCTTCCATCAGGACTTATGGGCTCTTGATCTGGAGAGGCTGGTGGAGTAGCTGGCTTGCTGTTTGCCTTCCAGTTCATTTTTTAATTGATGCTGGGAGGTTAGGAGGGAGCTGTGATAAAAAGTCCTTCTTTTTCTTGCTTATACAAACAACACCAGTTTAGCTATTAGTTTTTATAGCTGAACCTCAGAGAGATTATTGTCCTCATACTTCTATAAACAATGACATTCTGAGTTTTTTTGTTTGAGTTCAGGTAGAAGCTGCTGCAGGTAAATCTCAAGAATTTGCCCTGTTTTTTTTTTTTCTTTTTCCATGATTGATTCTTCTCCCCTAGTCTTTCTTTCCTTTATTAAGTTTTGTTTGTATGAATGTTCCAGGACTATGTCTTCAGATCTGCTTTTCTCTTCCTAGTCTTGCTCCCAAGTCTAGGGTTAAAACACCATTTAATGCTGCCAACTTCCAATTTATATCTCCAGCCCAGACTTGACCCTGAGCTTTGGTCTGGTATGTTCAACTCATCCATTGGGAAGTATAACTGGCATTTCATACTTAACATGCCCCCAAATGCGATTCTTCATCTCTGCCATCTGTAACTTGCTTCTTCCCTACCTGACTTTACCTCAGTAATTGGTACCATCATTTATGAGGTTATTTAAGTAAAATATCTAGAAATAACAATTTATTCTTTTTTTTAACCTAAATTCTTCCCCCCTAACCATCATCATCTCCTACCTGACAAGGGAATTGTCTTCTGTTTTTGTTTTTTTCTTAATGCTCCTGTACCCTATAGTCTATTTTTTCAATGATAGCCAGAATGATTTTTTTAAACTTTCCAGTGGCTTTCTATCTGCACCCCACCCCCCTGCTGCGGCATGAAATCCAAACTACAAGGTGTGTAGTATCTAGTTTCTGCTCATCTCTCACTTCATATTACATAGTGCCCCTTTTATTTACTCATCATTGTATTATTTTTCTTTAACATGATACACTTATCCTTACCTCAGGGCCTTTGCATTGGAGATATTTCTCCTGCCAGAAATATCCTGTTCTCACTTCTTTGCAGAGGCAGCTCCTTCTGTTCAAATGGCAACTCCTCAGAGAAGCCATCCCTGACCATCCTATCGAAAATAAATAGTCTTCCATTATGCTTTACTATGCCTTCTTATTTTTGTCACAGTCCCATTACTTGAAATTATATTATAAATGTACTTACTTACTTGTTGATTTACTGCTGGCCATTTTAGAGTACAAGTGTGAAGAGGGCAAAGATTTTGTCCCATTCATTGTCATATACTTGGGGGATGAGCAACAAATATTAGTTGATGAACTGATCAAGTGAATGTATTATTGATAACTGAGGAAACTATTGATGCTGTTTTCTGCCAACCATTCAAAAACATACAGAAGAAATTGAGGCCTTCGGGTCATTGGTTTAAAAGTTAATTTATGACATAGAATCATAGAACCAGGAAGATGCTGGGTATTTCTTTATTGTTTTCACCTTTCTTCCATTTGAACTACTACTCCTTCATAGCATTTGTCATTTAGAGAAGTTTTACATAAGTCTTTTTGTTACCATAAAATTTCATGCTTCGACACTTTTTCAGTATTTCTCTCCAGTTTTTTTATAGGTCGAAGGCTTCTCTTTGTAGCAGAGTGACAAACTGTGGGGATTACAGTGTAGGTTTCCAAAAGTCTGAGTGCATGAAACATGCTGAGCAAATACTCATTTTGATACGTTGACTGTAACCAGCAAGTACTTTTCTGCACAGAAGAATGAAATCCATAGAAATGCCTGTATGAGAAAATTGATGCAGATAGTAAATTTTTAAGAAATGATAGGCAGCTAGTCTCCCATTTACCACTAATTCTATTCAAATGGCTTTCTGTAGTTAGTTGTTCTATTGGTTTTAAGAATCATCCCACTGTTAGAAGTGTTCTGCTATTGAGAAAAACAGCCTTATGCTTTAAAGTAAGTACCTGAATAATTGTGAGGTTTTTCTAAACTTGTGGGTTTTGGTTAGGACCCCATTTCTGTGAAATCAATATCAACGGGTATATATTATAGTGTATTTAATGAAAAATACATTTCAAATAAGAATAAGAACTAAAGATAGTGTCTTAATTTGGGTTGCTCCAGAAGCAGACTCTGATATAAGGCTTAGAATCCAGGTAGTTTATGTGGGGAGTGAACTCAGGAAAGTAGAGAAGGGGAGAAAATGAGACAGAAAGCAATGAGCCCACTAAAGGGTGTGTCACCAAACTGGTCACCACTGTGGACAGCTGGAGCTCAGGTATGTGGAGCTCAAGTGGGGAACTCCAGGAGACCATGGAACATGACCCAAAATTATCCCAGCTAAGTCAAGAGGAGGTATTTTTATCGAATCCCTATTCATCTCTTGCTGAGAGCTGCTATTGAGGACATTACCTCTTTAGCCCTTTGGCTTTTCCTAAACACGGGCCAATTGTGCTCTTTCCCATGGCGAGAGAGAAACCTTTCTCAGAAGGGAGCCATGGGTTTTTGTAGTAGCAATCTTTTGTTTGTGGAGGTAAGTGCCAAAAACATACAGTGTGGCTCTGAAATGTCTATTACAAACAGGAGCTCTAAAATGTCTGTCAAATCCTCCATGTGTTAATACTAATGTTCTTTTGATGAACTTTTAGGTGGTTGTTTACCTTGTGGCATAAACACACTATTTAGGCACAAACATTTTCTTGCTTCTGGTTGCAATGCTGTATTTTATTTTCTTCTCTCTCTGTCTTGGATCTGAAACCTGATTCAATGATGATCAAACTCCAGTAGGTATTATATGATTACATACCATTTACTATTAATGTGTGGACAAGCAGGAGCATGTGTGTGAGTGGCTGGATGTATATAGGGAGGTATAGCTGACTGTCTTAAACTTCTGATGTCTTAAAGCTTTATAACATTTTAAATGAGGTTGCTATATGTACCAACCTCAAGAATTCCCATAGTAGAATCTGTGGTTTACTGCACTAAAAATATAATCTGTGTCCTCTTGCAATGAAGGAGACAGAACATAGTAAATGGTGCCTTCCGGGTGCTAACAGAACTGTAGTATTTCGACTTCCAAATATGAAGAGACCCCTCCTTCACAAATTCAAGTCTGAATATTTATTAAACCATTCTCTTCTATGCTACTTTCCAGTTCCTGTTCACAATCTGGTGGATGAAAAAAAGTACAAATTTAATCTTGGGAGAATGAATGTCTATTTTGTATTTTCTGTTTTCAAAATAAGAATCTATGATCTTTGATAAAGCAGTGAGAACAGTGCAGCAAAAATGAAAATAAAGACTACTAGAACCAACTCCCACATTTATTCCAAATGGCATTAAGTCTAACACACCCTTATGTCCTTTCTCGATTTTATTGAGAGTTTGGAATCTATTGTCTAGTTTTAACTTGGAAAAAAACCACAGATTTTATTTGCACATATAAGTTCACATGCAAAACTATCCACACAGACACATATCTATAGATGCCCACATATTGTCATCTACTCCAGCATTAGGAGCAAAAATTATCCATTGGATCAGCTATGAAAAATCCTGCACCAGTGGGTTTTTTATCTGCGCAATGCAGTGTGTGTAGCCAGGGGAAAAGTGAACTGTTAATTTTGTTTTGTACTTATCTGTAAGTTTGCATTTGCAGCCAACTTTGAAGCATGAGTGACAATAGAGTACAAAGCAACTAATCCCTAGAAGAAGATCCTTTAAGAACTATTTGCATTTTATTCTGGAAAGAATTTATTTTGATTACAGAGGCATTTGATAATCTGAAAATCCAAAATCGTGTAGAAAAACAGTCTTGAAATGAACATCTCATTTAAGTAAGACTACATAGATATCAAAGCTTCCCACTTTGTTTCTCACTTACTTCCTGTTTGTGAGGGATGCCAAGTTCATGGCATCCCCTCTCAGACCAGTTCCTACATGTGGAACACTGGTGTTGTTGGGAGAGGACCGAAAAAAATCAGAGCTTTAGTTTCAGTGGCAATTTACAATTTCTCCGATGTGATGAAGACAGTTGAAGGAGATGAAGAGGAAGCTGGCATGCACTGAGCACCTTTAGTAGGCTAAGTACTGAAGTTGGCATTTTCATTCATTCGGAGCATGCATTTTGACCACCTACCCTCCACTCTACCAGCACCTTCCTAAGGGTAGGAGTATAGTTGTGAAAAAGGTAACATTCTGTTCCTACTTTTATTAAACTTATGTTCTAGTGGAAATACATGAACAAATAAGTAAAAATATTCCACTAGAGATGAGAGTTATTAAAAGTGAAATAGGGTATTGGGCTAGAGAGGTAGTTTGAGGGGTGTGTGTTTGTGTGTACACATGTGTGTAAGAAAGCTGCTCTTTGAATTACTTATATTTCCAATGAGACCTGAGTGAGGAGCGAGGAGTCACACTGCTCTGAGCGAAAGGAGGAGCCTTTAGGGAGAAGGACCAGCCAGGGCAGTGATTCTAATACATGAATGGCCTCAATGTGTCTGAGGGGTGGGTGGAAAGGAAGTCAGTGCCACTGGTACATAGTGAACAAAAAGGGGATAGTTGGACCTAGCCAAAAGCCATCTTCTTTATAGGCCAGGCTAATTT